TGTTTCAAGAGCAAATGCGTCTCGAAGACTATAATGGCTGAAGAAACATTATGACTGAACGTCCTTCCATACACAGCGCTATTACTCAGCACTGCTACTCGTCAGAGTTACTTTAGAGTTAGAGGCAAGATGCCCCAATGAATGGCAGGCAAAGCCACAGAAACAACAACACTGAAAATCCTTTTTATCCAACACTTGGAATGTGCAGAAAAGAGGGAAAATGAAGAACCAAAGACGGTAGACATAAAGATAATTAACTTGTCCAGGCGCTCTTTAACGGAATATGAAATTACAATATTAAATAGGGGACTCAAATTTACACCTACCCCAAAATCAAGTAACTGCAATGAAGTGAAAGAAGACTTAACTGAATTCTGCAGAAAACTCCGAGATGAGGAATACTTTTTCGAGTGTGAAAATGGGAATCCCTAGTTAGAAATAAAAGTTTTTGGTGCGCCAAAAAGGGACAAAACAAACATTTGGATAATTTTGTGGATCAAATAAACAGTTATCCAATAATTCCTAACACAAGCAAGAAACACTCTAATATAACCAGCAAACAGAGATTCTTTAAACTCTTTGGCCAATGATCCGAACATCATAATAAAAGAGGCTGACAAAGGCGGAGCAACAGTGATAATTGATTCAACGAACTACAAACACATGGCAATGGACTTACTCCAGGACAAAGGTACTTATGTCCCGTGCAGTGAAAAAGAATCAAACAGTCAAAATTAAAGAACCTAACCAGTCAGTACTCAGAAGAGCTCACATCAAAGGAATTAAATTATATAACACAGTTTGACTGCAAATCGAGCAATTTCTATGGCTTACCCAAAATTATGCTCGCTAACACTGACAGTCGGTCGGGGAACTAGTGTTGGTATCTTCGCAAGCCTATGAATTTCTATCTCAGCTTCGTAATCCACTCCATCTATCATAACCATACATGAATTTTCTTGGATCAAAGCACTGACGGTACCGTAACCACGGCCGTCAATCCGGACACGATCGCCGATAAGCAAAGCCATGTTTGTTTACACTGTGAAAGTAGTCCCTAAAATGTGCATATGACCTCTCTAATTTGCATCGACATCCGTATATGACCCAAGCGGATACCGAAAATATTCGTTGGCTTTATCCTGCCGAGAACGCTATCCATTGTATGATATAACTGCTTCCCACATTGTGCACACCAATATCACTGCTTCCACATTGTGCACATTAAAATAGCAGCTCCACACATTCTACACACCAATATAACTGCTACCGAATTATATACATTAAAATAACTGCTCCCAACACTGTACACACTAATATAACTACATATACCGCAAACAGAATACACCAATTTAACCCCTAATGGTATACGCCAAGTTTCCTATCTAAATACGCTTACGCCAATCTATTCGCGCAGTAGATATATACCAATGTCATTGCTACAATCAGTTTACACAAATATACCTGCAACACTACTTATATAGATCACTTTACGTATCTTGATACGTATTCAGTGACATTACAGTCAAGCACGGCCTACGCCAATATAGCTATGTTGTCTGAAATATTATCGCCAAGAGAATACCTAATCTTTGATTATCCCCGGAAATATATTCCAGTTGGTGTATAGGCCAAAAATGCTGTAAAAGTAACATGACACCCATCTTTCACATAATTTGCATATACAATTCAGACAAAGGCATTGTGGGGGGCCATTTCATCGTTTTGTGAAAGAAGACTTAATTTGAAACATATTATAAATAACGGTTGGATATCTTGAACATCTCAAGAATAACCAGAAAATTGGCACTGTCGTCATGAAATATCAGCGAATCTCGATAATGGTGGAATGATGGCAATATGTTAAAACTGTTTACTGAAAACGACAAACACCACGCCAGTGCTACTTTTACCTTTAATAAAACACGCAGCTAAAAACTTGCTAATGTTTCTCAAGTTTGAGGACGCCTCAACAGTAATGAGCCATTCACGATTCTAATCTCAGAACCATTAACAGACATTCGTGGCGTATGCTGAACGGTTAGTTTTGCGTGTTTCATCATAAATACAACCTCGGACCCATCAAGTCTTCCCAGCTGTTCCCCGCTCAGCCATCAAACAGGATGAAATGTGTATGCACTTTGATCTGATGGTTTACCATTTCTCAGCTGCCAATCACGCAGACTCTAGGACTAAACAAATCGATAACACGATCTGAAATGGACTCCAATAGGCTACGTGAATGAGTTCCTGTAAACGTATCGTTTCGTACTTTGTTTTTAAAAGTGTTGGAGTCTTAAAAAGCACTTCCCTTGCTTTTGTAACTCGACACTCATCCCTGTCGATGAGGATTTCCTACTTTGACGATGGTGGCCAAAACCTTGTTTCAGTTTGGAAGTAGAATATGTCCAGAGGCTAATGGCTGGGAATAGGTGCAGATGAAGTGTCTATTTATAGCAGAGTATATCCCTTCTCTGTCTGTCCTTCATGGATGATGTCAACCAATCCTTTAGTACTACACCATCACAGTGTTTAAGCGCTTAAATAGTTATTGTCGATGGAGAAACTTCAACAGTTGTCCAGACATTCTCAGCCCGTCTATAGGAGGTGCAATTCTAATGCCAGTCACAAAAGAAAAACCTTCCATTCAAAACATATTTTTTTCTAATTTATAAAGAGTTGAATGAACCCGAGTCTTGGTAATCCTGAGATTGTGTTAACAGCGCGGTCATAATTTTGGGAAACAAACGGGTGTATTTGTAATAAAAGCTGACGAAACTTAAGCATGGAATCTCTGCTAAAACAGTCAATTCTGTGGTTAAACGACTTGTTAAGTATGAATTTACGCACTATCAAATAGTGTTCTCATGAAGGTAAGTCTCCTGCAAAGGTGCTGACTGCAATTAACTAGCACAAATTGTAGGTACATCTTTATTGCTGTTGTAAACATATCATCAATTGGTTTCTCATTGTTTTACCCATCACATGCTAACTTTCTTATGTGCATTTGACACGTATAGTACGTCTCCCTATTGTAGTCGATAGAGCGTCTGGCCGGGAGCAGATGGTCGTGTGTTGCTCATACCAAAGGACATTTAAAGAGGGTGCTTGAAATTGTTGCCCTGCCTGGCGCTCGGTATTCAAGGCTTTGGAGTCATTAATACCACTTGTATCTCAGTGGGCTGTCATAATAAAACCGGTATTAGTACAACCGGCCAAGCAAAGCAGAGACTCTCACACAGACACAGACACAGACACACACACGCACACACACGCACACACACACACACACGCACACACACACGCACGCACGCACATACACACACACACACACACACACACAGTGCAAGTCGCCTAAAGTGCATGGAACGTTGTGCATTTTTGTATTGACCAAATGTATTTGAGTGCAAAGTCACATCGCTCGTAATGTTTAAAAACAACTCTAAACATGTTTGGAGCTTAGCGTGTCTACCATGCGTCTATTATCTAATAAAGCTGGGGATAATTGAACAGATTTTAATAACGAACGTTGATCGGCTATTGAGCCATTAAATTAGGCAGCAATATAACTTAGCAATCATGTTCGAGCTCTTTACAAGACACGCGGGTTCTGGCTTTAGATTAATGCACTACTGCCTGCACTGAATGCCAAAAATATTCATTTTTCACATTTGAAAAATGAAACCAATAATTAAGTGCTTTAAAATAAAAGGGAACAAAACCCATTCTTTAATCACACTAAAAATACAATCACCTGTACGAGCATGTGTTTGTGAATACTATTAAACAGTGAGCGTATCCTGCCCCGTTGGAATCACTTGCTAAAATACATGCGAAGCCAAGTCAATAAGTTTATCTGAAAAAACATTATAGTCAGATTTGGGAATAGCATCAGATGTCATTTTTGTTACCGATGAGTCAGATTTGGAAATGTCCTCCAAACGGGTTTTGAGGTTTTCATGTCCCCAAATGATTCGACAAAGCAAACTTTTGTCAACAAATAAAATAGCCTTTATGAGTAAGAATGGGGAACAGTAGGCATTTGTGTCTCGGGATATATTCGGGCTCAGTGGTTTGTGAAGCATCTGGCATTGGTATAATTTCACCACAAGGACAATCTTTCGTTAGGAAACGTTAAGGAAGGCATTCTTAAGATACTTTAACTAGTTAGTCTTGAAGTAAACGTTGAAATGCCGCCAATATACATCATTCTTAGAAAACAAGATCCCCCGTCTAATGGTAATTGGAACAAATCCACACGAGGACTTAAGGTGATATATCAATACCAAGACCGGTAATTCCATGACGTATTTGTCTGCAAGCCACTTAAAAGCTAATAGGAGGTACAAGAGTATATACATCAATACGTATGTCGCTAAGGTTACAGCGATACAAGAGGTATTAAACATGAGTATCAGCAAAAGGTCCAGCTTCTGGCTATCTGGTCCGTGACATCGTTAAAGTCACATTCAACAAAAGTATAGTATATGCATTGTCTTAAGTACAGTTACTTTAAGGCAGTCATTGCGATAGCTTCTTCAGTGTTCATTCACGTTATTCAACTAGGGAGCCTTCCATTGTTGATGTGGGAAATTCCATGACTGGAATAGACTCATAGATTAAGTACTTTTTTTTACAAATGAACCGTTTTGATATCTGAAAGCGCGTACGTGGCAACATGTTCTAGGAACAGTAGTATAGCTTAGGTGTGAGTTAAAAATCTTCGTCTCAGCGGGAACCGATCGTTGTGAAAGGGTCTACAGTTGGGCCCCACCTCGTATCCAACCAACACCTTCAATTTCTAGTGGTGTCAAGCCCACTTTCCTACTACCCTAAATCCCCACGTCATGTTCAACCAACACGTCCACGGCCCATCCCACCGACATCCCGACATGCACCAGCCAACACTCCATCCAAGTAAACTCCCTTCACCTGTTCAATCAACACTCATGCTGTCTATCTACCAACATACTCCGTCCCTCTACTACAGTTCGACCTACCGTTATCATCTCTTCTGCCAATAAAGTCGGCCACGGTTGCATCCCTAACATTGGGGTTGTAGTCCTGTAGGTGACGTCGCATCTCCTCAAACGTTGCCCTGCCGTCGTTGTTTCTGTCAATCTGAGTTTCAAACCTATGCTTCAGTACTGAAATATAGAGCAAGTGGGCATGTTTCAGATAAACATGTGTTGTACACACATGGCGTTCAAAACTGACATATTTCCTCTATTCAGTATCATTAAATTAATTGTTACTTGTCAAATAAAAGCTCATTTTGGGTGTCATTGACGTTTATACAAGATTACTGAAAACTGTGAATATGATGATGATATTACTTATGTTGGATTAAGTGAGTTACTGAAGAAAGATGTTATAATTATGACGATGTTATTACTTTATTTTAGATTAGTAAGTTATCCATGAGAGACGGTGCGTGTTAGAAAATTGTTAGTTTAGACGAAACCAATGACAACTTTACTGAGAACGAATCAGTTAACTACAGAAAGGTAGTAAAGCACTTAAGAATCAATGTTTTCCAAAAGTTCCAATTCTGTTCAAAACCAAAGAAGTTCCGAGGTGTACTATCTTAAAAAAACCCAACAATTCTGTAAAATACATAAAACCGAGGATGACACAAGAGAGTCTCAAAATGCACTAGACAGATGAATTTCCTCTTGTATTGAACAATAGACAGTTGCAGAGATTATTGTAGTCTGTCTCCTCGACACTACAGAATAGACAGAAAAAGTCGTCCAACTGAAGTCTAGAATGATTGGGCAGGTCCACATTGCTCAAGCTCCTAAATTAGAAAATTGTTCTTTTTAAATTTTATTAAATATCAATTTATCATCGTTGATCATGTTTTATAACAGAACATTTTTATTTTGAGGACTTAATGTCAGTCTAAGGTTTTCGCACCCCGCAGGTTTTTCCTACCATTGCAAATTTAAACAGAACGTTGCAATGCTGTCCACGTTGAGCGGCCGGCGGGGTTGTCAGGGCAAGTGTTAGTGGGCTCTGTTGAACACGCAGTCATGTCGATAATGTCCGACTGATAATACTCATGAGCCACAATGAATATTCATTCCGGGAAAAGGTGTACAGAAGCTTTCTTATGTGGAGGAGGATTGTTTGCTTGGGTTAACGTGTGTATGTACTAGCTCTGTCTGAACATAGTGACTTGTCGGTTAACGATCTGAATTCCGTTGCTCTCTGTTAGAAAAGGCTATTATTACGCTTACAGTACTCCGGATGCTTTTCAGTGTTTGACTTGCTGAATGTGTAGTTTAGAATCAAAATTTGAAACTCGATTTCTGATAGTGTTGGAAGCCTTGTGCAGCACACAGTTTACCTGTATAAGCGAGGCAATCATTTTATCAGGGTAAAGAAATAAGGGTCAGAGAGTTCGAGGGAGGGGAACGAGAGCGAAAAGGAGAGGGTGAGAGAGGAAGCGAGAGAGGGAGTGGTGCGTGAGAAGAGGAGAGAGACAAAGAGAAGATGGAGAGATTAGAGGTTGAGTGAGTGAGTGAGTGAGTATAGTTTTACGCCTCTTTTAGCAATATTCCAGCAACCTCATGGCGGGGGACACAGTGGGTTTTGAAGGAAAGCCCAAACGTGCGTGCATGTTCGTGTGTGTGCGTGCCTGTGAGTGAATGTGCTTGTCCTGGTGTACGTATGTATGTATGTATGCTTGTGTGTGCGTATGTATGTATGTATGTATGTATGTATGTATGTATGTATGTATGTATGTATGTATGTATGTATGTATGTATGTATGTATGTATGTATGTATGTATGTATGTATGTATGTATGTATGTGCGAACGTGCGGGCGTGTGTCTTTGTTGTGTGCGTGTGTGTGCGGGCGTGCCCGTGAGTGATTGTGCTTGCCGGCGTGTTCGTATGTATATGTGTGTGTGCGTGTGTGTTTGTTTGTTGTGTGTGTGAGCGCGCGTGCGGGCGTGAATCTGAGTGAATGTGCTTGTCCTCGTGTACGTATGTATGTATGTATGTATGTATGTATGTATGTATGTATGTATGTATGTATGTATGTATGTATGTATGTATGTGTGTGCCAACGTGCGCGCGTGTGTGTTTGTTGTGTGCGTGTGTGTGCGGGCGTGTCTGGGAGTGAATGTGCTTGCCGGCGTGTTTGTATGTATATGTGTGTGTACGTGTGTCCGTGTTCGTGCGCATGTGTGTGCGCGTGTGTGTGCGTGCGTATGTGTGTGCGCGCTCTTGCGGGCGTGCCTGTGACTGAATGTGCTTGTCCTCGTGTACGTACGTATGTATGTATGTATGTATGTATGTATGCATGCATGCATGTGTGTGTGTGTGTGTGTGTGTGTGTGTGTGTGTGTGTGTGTGTGTGTGTGTGTGTGCGCGAGAACGTGCGCGCGTGTGTTTTTGCTGTGTGCGTGTGCGGGCGTGCCTGGGAGTGAATGTGCTTGCCGGCGTGTTCGTATGTATATGTGTGTGTGCGCGCGTGTGTTTGTTTGTTGTGTGTGTGAGAGAGTGTGCGTGTGTGTGTGTGTGTGTGCGCGCACGTGCGGGCGTGACTGTGAGAGAATGTGCTTGCCGGACCGGCGTGTGCGTGTGCGTAAGTGTGTGCGGGCATGCAGCCGTGCGGGCGTGCTGGTGTGCATACATTTGTGTGAGCACTAGACGTAATGTATGCCTCCTGTAGTGTAATCTTTAGAGTGAAACAAACCCAACTTACCTGTAAGGTATTCTACTGACACGCATGGCTGCAACAGAGAAGACAAGAGGTTAAAAACTCACAATTATTTGTCATCTTATAGCGTTAGGTTAACTGCAACCACACGATCGTAGTTAAACATAGCATGCGCACGCCACGTGTCACGTTCCTTACCACAAAAACAAAACAAATTAAGTTTAGTAAAGAACCACAGTAACGTGTGTTTTTGGTATGACGCGTCAGAGTGAATTGGTTAGTGAGTCGAGGTGACGCTGTTGGCTGGGTGTCACAGGAGCATTGCGGTATGGGACTCATAACATCAATCACTGGATTGCACAACCAGAGTGCCTGTCAATGACAAATCCGCATGTACATAATCTCATAAGTTCAAATCAGGCAATGTTAACAATGAAAACGATATTCAACCACGACATCAATAAAACTCAACCAAAGCGCTAATAGCGCCCACAACGTTGTGACTCCCAGTATGACACCATATCAACATCGTACACATAACGTTATTAATGCTTCGCCGAACTGTTTCCTTATTTACATCATCGCTTACAAATGACACTTTACAGAGCAACTTCCGAATCATCACCGAGGTCAGCGTTATTCCGATGACGTCAATGTTTTGTCATTTAGCTTTCTGAAGACCGCGCCAGAAGAGACTCTAAGCATAGTCCAATCTGTTCCTCGCTCTGTCGCCAATTGTAGCTAATGGGTATTTAGTAGCCCTGGTTGCAATCTTCAATTTATCTGGCTGTGAGCAAACGATTTCCTTAATGTAGCCTGCCCTTGTTTTTAGTATTCCAGGAATCGAGTCTGATCGCCAGCTTAATTCCTTTGACACTAACGGTAAAGAAAGATTTGATTATTATGTAAATAGCTGTAAGTGACGTCAGGAGTGATGGGAGGGGTGACGCAAATAATGACAGAACCAATCTGGTTTGGAATAACTATTTGTCTCGAATTAAATGAAGCCTTTTAGAAGATAATATGTTCACACTCTTCCGAGCAAGAATGCTGGAGATGTTGCTGAAATGACCTTTGTGAAAGTCTCTAATCAGGTTTTTTGCCATCCCAGCCACACAGTGTTGGCGGCTACTAATGGTCATTTATATATAATGATAATGAAATCAGAACTATTTTGTGTGTTTACAAGATAAGGAAGCCTTGGGCCTAGTTGTAACGAAATAGCTGGCTAAGTGAATGGGGCATCCCATTATATGGGTGGACTGCATTAGCAAGAAACAAGGCAGGGACATTTAAATTACTTCACGAAGTATAGAGTTTGTGGTGACTATAGTGTCCACGCTATGTCACACGGAACAAGTGACGTAAAACTTTGATTTCCAAAACTTTGCAACATAACACAAAAACTGAGTTATTTCCAAACACAAATAATCTTCAAATTCTTTATTCGCAGAGTGTATGTAGGCCATCGGCCCATAATACAAATATTAAATGTTTGCAGCCATATATGATTGACGGTGCTTTACAGCATAATAAACCAACATTGCTACATTTCTGATGACAACGGTATTTTTGGAGGTCATTAATATACTGTAATTTGACAAAGAAGGTGTAAAACTTGGCAGGAATATATATAGTGCGCAAAGAACTGTATACAGTACACACTAAAAGGAAATGATACTCGTTTTCTATATATCCATTGTCGAACATGTTACATAACCTGTGATGTCTTGGTTTATTTGTGTATCTACCTGTCTCAATATTTCATTGATGGGAACCACAGCGAAACTGTGCGAGTGCAATGCGAAATTTACTAACGTTAATAACACTTAGATATGGTTCCATAGATAGATTACACTTGAAAAGAGAATATGAATAAGTTTTAGAACTTGATGATAACGAGTTGAGCCATTCTTGATGGGATATATGCTGAGCACTGATCATAAATTCAGACAGGAAGGAATTTAAGCTACTAATATACTACAAATAATATATTGGATACAATGAGGGAGGCTAAATATCTGACACAATAAGCACGGTTAAATCATGATTCGAAGAAGGCTTTCTCAAATCGAGAACGTTGACGTGAAACGTTGAGTGAGTTTAGTTTTACGCCGCTTTTAGCAATATTCAAGAAATATCATGGCGAGGGTCACCAGAAATGGGCTTCACACATTGTACCCATATGGGGAATCGAACCCGGGTCTTCGGCGAGAGGAGCAAACGTTTTAACCACTAGGCTACCCTACCGCCCATGAAACCAACGCACACGGTCATGAAGCACATAGACCTCGACACATTATCAGGACAAAATTGGATTCGAACTCACGATATTACGTTTCGCCGCTGTTCTGTGTGTAAATAACGGCGCATCAGACTGGTCACGCACCAACCTGATCATAACACTATTCAGTATAATGGAGCTCCCATGTAATGTAATGATATTTAAATAAGGTGAGTAAATGAGTATGGTTTTACGCCGCTTTTAGCAATATATTTCAGCAATATCAGGGCGGGGGATACCAGAAATGGGCTTCACACAGTGTAACCATGTAGGGAATTGAACCAGGTTCCTCAGGATTACAAACGAATGTTTTAACCACTGGACTACCCCACTGCCCCATATTGGAATACAGCAGACATCACGAATGTGGGAGAACGGAAGGTTCGATCCCCGGCCGCGTGACACCAACAGACTTTAAAGTATGGTACTTTCCTGTCTGGCGCTCGGCATTTATGCGTACAACAAGGACTGGTCGGCTCGGAGTCAGTATAATGTGTCTGAGAGGGGTATTCATGCTTCACTGCGGCATGGTATCTCAGTTAGTTAGCACTACAAAACCTGCTTAAGTCTGGGCTAGTACAAGCAGCGACACATACACACGCATGCACGTCGTCATATGAGCGAAATATTCTTAATTGCGACGTTAAACCACATTTTACCTCACCACCTCACCTCACCTCACCTCACCTCACCTCACCTCACCTCACCTCACCTCACCTCACCTCACCTCACCTCACCTCACCTCACCTCATGCTGCTGCAGCACATCAACCCAAAAGGTCAGATGTCACTGAGGTACATAATGCTCAGCTGGTGAATATGATCAGCTGGGACAAACTTGAAACACCTCGTGTGTATGGTAAATGTGAATGTTGACTATCTGCATCCAACAACAACTCAGACGTCCTAAGGTGTCTGTGAGAGTCTATCCCTACTGAGTGTCATCCCAGCAAGGTGCTAGTAAACGTCGTAGCTACATTGTAACGCAGAATTAGGGTTAGTGAGTGCTATTGGCGAGGATCATTCTGTTTATTACCAACAGTATTCAAGAATGTTATGAGGAGTGGGGTTTTTCCATATTGTTAACATCATATGCCAGAAAGCAAATATAAGTCATTCATATTATGTGATTATTTACTATATGGAAACATATACGGATAGTAATCTTTTCATCACATGCTGTTTTAAAACATTACCAAATTACATTTTTAAGGTATTAGCACTGGCTAGTGTCGCTATAAATCAATGTATTATCTCAATACTAACGTCTAACCACTTTGAACCGTCTTACTACAATGAACCGTTCTTTGTAAAGAAATATATGATTTGCTTAATCTATAGCATGGATGTATTAGGACAAAATAGTGTAGTTAAAATAAAATCGTGATCAAAGATGTTTTTACACAGGAATCACTACAATGCCATCACAGATTTACCTTGATTTTCACATTTCTTTATTGAGAAATGATTTGAGAACTACATGGCACAAAACTGGGGTGCTATAGTTCAGTGTACCAACAACAAGTAAAATGTAAAGTATATCAGAAGCCTTCCTCTAAGTTATATGGGGTCTTTGCTCGAAGCATGTTCAGTGAAGACGTTTGGGAATCGACATGGAAAGCATCGTATATACAGACTCCCACGGACTCCCAAGGACTCCCACAGACTCTCGCAGACTCTCGCATATACAGACTCCTGATTGAGAGTATAATGTCATGTGCTCGCTACCCTGGTTACAAATGAACAGGTTTTAAAGATTCAATCACTCTTAACTTTTATGCATCCCGTGGGATGCGGAGAGCAAATCATGTGTACCGGTTCATAAATTGCAGGCGTATAAGACTCAATATTGTGTTTGTGGTAAACGTCTGGTACATAAAATATCTTTTTATCATAGCTTACTTGGGACCTCGTAGTCTACTGTTATTATTAAAACTGTTACTCTCCTATTCATCACCTGCAAGACGACTAGTCTCCCTATGGGTCAATGTTATGATCTAAAACACGACAAACCAATCAAACGCACGTCTGAGTATTAGTATACTTTGCTTCAAGAATCCCTGTTGTTTATGGTTACACCTTGAGATAGTCACAATTGTTTCATCATAGTAAAAATATTGTGACTGTATTTGGCAAAAGTTTTATCGTCAGAAAATGTCTATTCAAATGCGGAGTATTGACTACACTGTGTCTGGTTGCCCAAAGACAGATTCAAGCTGATATAATGGCCACGGAAGAGAAACGAGTCGCCATTCGGCTCGCCCCGAATTGACACGACTGGAAACGGATGCCGCTGTTGCCTTTTGTTGAATGACCACACACACACACACACACACACACACACACACACACACACACACACACACACACACACACACACACACACACACACACACACACACACACACACACACACGAGACACACACACACACGAGAAATACACACACACGAACACACACACACACACGAACATACACACACACACACGAACACACATATTTAACAAATACTACGATTTTATGTAGATATGTATTTTGCCTCGAAATACTTTGAGAATAACTTGCTAAGCAGCTCCCGTATGACCTAACCTTCCTATCACCCTGAAGCTGCATTTAAAGGTCAACTATAGATTACCTCGTAGTAACAAGCTGTGATAATGTCTGGCAAATTAGCGATAAATTAAAATGCCACCTGTTCAGGTCTCCGGGGGCTGCTGTCAGAGTAAGACGGATCCTACATCGACATGTTCCAGGTTTGTTTAACGTATTTCACATGCAATGACATTCACACTGACGTTATTCCAGAACTACCTTAGCACTCGGTGAAATGGCTTTCAACGTTGCGTTCAAGATTCCATATTCTAACGTCTTGCATGCGCTTGCGTGGCGCTATTTGACGCGCATATCGGAAGAGTCATCCAACTACCTAGTCTGCCAGTTTAATCGCTGCACTTTAACAATGTGTCCAGCTAGATTTCCACAGTTTCTGAAAATGAAGAAAGTCTCGGTCTTTTCATTAAATTTAATCAAGTCTTCCTGTAAAATATGTTCCTTTCAGAGACTAGTTGTTCGTCTACAAACTACCGTTCCTAAACTGGTTTGTAGCCACGTTTATTTGTTTGTAGTTTAACGCTGCACTCAACAATATTCCAGCTATATGGGGGCGGTCTGTAAATAATCAAGTCTGGACCAGACAATGTAACCACGTAGCGAAACGTCAATGGTGACGATATAACTACTTGTCAAATGACTATTCCATGCACAACGCAATTTGCAGTTTTTGTCATCAGTGAAATTCATTATCGCCGGATTGGCTTGTTTTCACTTTATACGTAAAGGCACACATATTGCTACATTCGTTAATGCATATTCGCGATATTTCCTGATTCTAGTTCAAGTGGCGATAACTAATGATATTTGTCGTGCTAATACGGTTAATCAACGAAAGCCGACTCCGAGTCCACAAGTCCTTGTTTGCTGTACGCCAGGTAAGGTATCAACAAGTACCATCTTTTACGTGTTTTATATGATCAAGACCAGGAAGCGAACCAAATATATTTTTCTCACACAAAAGAGCGAGAGTAAAAAACATGTTTCAGTCTCATAGAGGTAGTCGGCTATTTTTAATTGGAACTCGGTAACTTCAGTCGGCATTGGCGTAGCCTACTGGCCAAAGCGTTGTCTCATCACGTTGATGACGTGTGTCCGATTCCAAAAATTGGTAAAATGAGTGAAATCAGTTGTTTGTGTTTCTTTTTTCGCAACATGAAGACTACTCATTCTTCTTAGTTTCAAGAACTATATCATTTTGAGATTGTGAGTGAGTGAGTATGGTTTTACGCTTCTTTAGCCATTAGCCATTAGTCTACCCCTACGCCCCCATTTTGAGATAGTCGTGGAGTCATACTTATAGACGGAAAGACCTGAAGTGACACGTGGTCTAAATACGCCACAGTGGAAATTTCCCTCTGTACATGTCAGCGAGACAGCACTATGATTAATGCATCTCGCGCAACGAACACTTTACGGAAAGAACACTGAAGTGACCTGAGTACCCTCAAATGTTTTCAGTGTAAGACAATAACATTATTCAAACGTGAACGCTCACTTATGACAGTCTTACAGGTAAGATCACTTTGTGGAACCGGGCCTGTCCTTTCTGACGATGTCGTAAAAAATGGTCTCGGAATTCACGATGTTTTATAGTGTCATGGATTAATGGAATTCCATTGTTTCACACGAATTTGGCCCTGTTAAATACAATATATTTAGTAAACTTATTCAACCTTATTCATAAGTAACGTGGGTAAAACCAGATTGCGACATACCCACACGCATCTGTGTATCAGCCACCGTTGACATTATTATGTCAACCAATCGGATTGCGGCATACATTCCGCCATGTTTAACAGCAGCACTCAACATATATCTGCCAATCAGATTGTGGCGAGCACTCTACGCTGTTAATCCCACGCATACGTCACATGCACAGATCTGTTGAACAATGCTAAAATATCGTGTGGTTGTATTAGTATCAATCTGTTATTGACAATCTGCTCAACAATGTCTATCGACACTGACCGGAAATGCGTCAGGTGTATATGGCTGGGGTTCCATTTCCCCATTCTGCGGGTCTACTTCCACCTCACTTCCTGTATGGCCTTCTGGGACGGCTGTGTCTGTGTTTCGTTTGTTTTGAAGGAGGTGCTTGAGGGATGTCGCTGACGTCATATGATAACAACATGATAGCAGGACGATAACAGCCAATACGCAGGAATCTAGTCTGGGCATGATGTTACCGTGGACGAATATCTGAAACACAAGGAAACAACATTATTGCTATGACAATATTGTTAATAACAAACTGACAGGTTTCACATACACATGCGCAATTATTTATATGATAGAGAGGACATGATGTTGCAATGGACGAATATCTGAAACAACAGAAAACAACATCATTGTCGTGACAATATTATTGATAACAGCGTGATAGTTTCACAAAGACATGCGTAGTTATTCATAATGATACAGACAGCATGATGTTGCAGTAGACGAAATGTCTGAAACAAAAGAAAACAAGAACCTTGTCATGACAATATTATGAAACGATGTTAACATTGACGAATATTTGAAACAAATGAAAACAACATTATTATCATGACAATCTTATATGTATTAATATGATGTTATCGTGGACGAATATTTGAAACTAAACAGAAAACAGCATTTTTGCCATGACAATATTATTAATATGATGTTACCGTGGACGAATATTTTGAAACAAAGGAAAACAACATTATTGTCATGACAATATTATTGATATGATGCTACCGAGGACGAATATTTGAAACTAAAAAGAAACCCGCATTGTTGCCATGGCAATATCATTAATTTAATATGATGTTACCGTGGACGAATATTTGAAACTAAAAAGAAAACAACATTGTTGCCATGACAATATTACATGTATTAATATGATGTTACCGTGGACGAATATTTGAACAAATGAAAACAATATTGTTGATAGGGACAATATTATTGATATGATGTTACCTTGGACGAGTATTTGAAATTAAAAAGAAACCCACATTGTTGCCATGACAATATCATTAATATGATGTTACCGTGGACGAATATTTGAAACTTAAAAAAACAACACATTGTTGCCATGACAATATTATTAATATGATGTTACCGTGGACGAAGATTTGAACGAACGAAAACAACATTGTTGTCATGACAATATTATTGATTTGATGTTACCATGGACGAATATTTGAAACAAATGAAAACAGCGTTATTGTCATGACAATATTATTAATAACAGCGTAAAAGGCTTCACATACACACGTTCATCTATGCATATTATATAGAGAGCACGATGTTACCGTGGACGAACAAATGAGTGAGTGAGTTTAGGTTCACGCCACTTTCAGCAATATTCCGGCAACATCACGGCGGGGGACACCAGAAATGTGAAACATAAGGAAACAACACCATTGTCATGACAATGATATAATTAAAAATGATAACCTGATAGGTTTACATACACCAGCTCGTCGATTCATATGAAACAGTTGCTTTGGGGAAGCATAGCGGTTAAAGCTTTCGTTCGTCACCCCGACGAACGACCAGGGTTCGATTTTTCACAGGTGTACAAAGTGTGAAGCTCATTTCAAAGATGAATTTCTCCACTAACTTGGGGGAACCAACTGCAAACCTTATGCAGATGAATTGCACGAGGATCATGCACCAACTTGCTCAAATGTATATGCAAATATCGTGCATGTGAACAGCTGGGGTTTGGTGTAAAGTTTTGTTAAGAATTCGTCAATTTTCACTGAGTTTCGTCACTTACTGAACTCATGACAATAATCTTTTCAACGTTACGAAATTGTTTTACAATACATCAGTCCATGTGTAAACAGTACCCTTAAACTGTAAAGAACATTTTGCAAAATCTAAATTAGATCAGTTGACTGAAGTAAGTGGCTACATTTACACTAGTGAGTCTAAAAGTTTGATGGGGAGTATGTATACAGATTGATGTATTTGTAAACACACCCAAAATCTTCATCATTTCAAGTCTGTGGTTGTTTTGTATTTAACTGTGGGCAAGGCCTGTCCTGTTTAAGAGGCCATCATAGGCTAACAGAGTAGCGTTCTATGGGATTGTGGCATGTTACGAATGGCTATCACGGTCATGATTGGAATACGTCATAATGTATTTACATGATCTCCTGACCCCATGACCACTCCGGACCACCCAGCAACATATGTTGGTTGTACAAGCTGTATTAGTTTGGGTGGTCTAACGCCGCACTAGGCAATATTTCAGTGATTAATATAATGATCATCGATCTGCGCAACTGGGATACGATGACATGTGTCAACCAAGTCAGCGAGTCTGACCACCCGATCCCGCTAGTCGCATCTTACGACAAGCACGGGTTGCTGAAAATTTAAACAGATCTTGTTGTCAAACTCGGTTATAGTTTTGGCTTAAAACTGTTACCAAATGTAAATGAAAATATATTTATCGGCAAACATGGATGTCAACAATTGAAACCTCTTGCACAGCAACCACTTACAGCATTTTGAAAAATCCATCTCAAAATTTTGAACCATACCTAAATTTTCTGCATTACAATAACTTGTTAAAATTTCAAACTTCCAGTCATTTAGAATTAGAAAGAGAAAAATATATTCACAAGTATTATTATATTAGACCAAATATGTATAAAATGAATAACCTCAATAACATAAAAGGTAACCTGCCCGATGTATTGCACCTATCATACCGTTTGTTTATAATGTTTAGGTAGTATAAATGTAAATATTGTGTATGTACCTGTTATGCTACAGTTTGCAGCCTAAGTGAATAAAGTGCAGTTCACTTCAGACGGCGGTCTGCAATTCCTCGACACTGGACCAGAAAATCAAATGATTGACGCAACCAGATCACCCGATCCGTTAGCCGCATCTTACAACTAGCTTGCTGAAGACCAATCCTAACCTGGATCTTCACGGGTTGAATGCAGCGTTGAACAAACAAACATTATCAACTGAAACCTCAGTTTTCAAGCAAAATTTACCAGTGAGACAGTCGACGGTTCGCTACGTGTTGGAGAATCAATAACCCGACCAAAGTTCTTAATTTAGATATAACCGCGTCAAACTCCACCGCAGCGTCATTCAAAATGGAATTGGATTCTACCGTTACGCTTGACGCCGCCGAACTCGGTGTCCACGTTGATTCGAGTCAGTTTGTTCGGTATGTACAACTACGTCATCTGACGCTATTTCAGCAGTAGTTGTGAGCTGTTTGCTCACTTCCAGATCACCCACGCGCGTTCTCGTTTCCTGTTTAATGTTTATATCAGCATTTTAAGGAGCTTGTGACAGAAATAAGCGACCCAGGAGCTTCGCTGCTCGTGGAGTGCTTGCCACAGACGTTTCCGTTCCGGGACACCGCTGAGCGTTTATTGTACCATGTACATCTGAACTTTCTTTCGTTTTGACATTTAAGATAATTGGTTTTGGGCTGCTATGGTTCCAGATATTTGTGAAATTGCAGTATGATAGTATTGTAATACAACAGTATGGAAACAGTGTCGTTTTAAATAAATGTATTTTTTGGATAAAAGTATCTCATAAAAATACAAACGGTATCATTTCTTTGATTTGTTGAATAATTTAGTTTTGATATAATGATCAGTTTTCTTATTGTTTGAAGATCAATAAAGGATATATACCCAGCAGGGGCATAGACGTGGATCGTGGTCAGGCGATAATGATAATAACTCGATATGTGCTATTAATCAGAAAAATCAACGATTTACTTGCCTATATCTGTGCTATTATGTTTATATAAGTTGAGAATAATTCGAGCTATGAGTGAGTGAGTAGTAGTCCCACTCAGCAACATTCCAGCCATATGGCGGCGGTGATTTAGAAAAAATCGCGCCGGGGGACACCAGAATGGGGTTCACACATTGTACCTATAGGGGAATCAAACCCGGGTCTTCGATGAGACGAGCGACCGCGTTAGCAACTAGGCCAGCACACCGTCCCCTTCGAGCCATGAACAACCAGTGGCTATACCGTGTGTACGGTGAGGTACAGGCGTCTTATCTACGTTGTATGTGTTGACTCAACGTGTTGTGAGGAAAACAACAACATTTTAAGTGAGTGAGTGAGTTGAGTTTTACGCCGCACTCAGCAATATTCCAGCTATATGGCGGCGGTGTGCTTGTCGCAAGTAGCGCTAAAGGGATCGGGTGGTCAGGCTCGCTGACTTGGTTGACATATGTCATCGTATCTCAAATTGCGTAGATCGATGCTCATGCTGTTCACTGGATTGTCTGGTCCAGACTCGATTATTTACAGACCGCCGCCATATAGCTGGAATATTGCTGAGTGCGGCGTTAAACAACAAACCATCCAACAATCCATACGCATGCCGAAAGAGAAATAATTTTGGTGTTGAGCGAAGACAGCAGCTTTGAGGCGTCAGCCAACAACCAACCAAGTAGCGTCAGAATGCTTACACGAACACTCTTTTGTCGCCACTAACTGGTGTAATCACTGATTGCAGTATTCCGGTCATATATTTTTCATTGCTGTTTTGGCTTTATGCCCAGTGGAATCTGATTTGGGAGATAACAGGAACTGATAGGTCTCTGACACGTATACTTAAGTACATAAAGGTTCTTAGCCGTGAAGACCCGGGTTAGATTTGGCTTTCAGCAACCCATGCTTCTAAGAGGCGACTAACGGGATCGGGTGGTCAGGTTCGCTGGCTTGTTTGACACATGTCGTCGTATCTTATTTGCGTAGATCGGCGCTCATGATCTCAATCACTGATTCTCTGGTCCAGGCTCGATTATTTACCGTCGGCGTTAAACAACAAACATAATATAAAGGTACTTCATCGTTTCAGAAAGCGTTTTCAGAACTGTAAACATGTGCTAAGAGTTAAGATCGTCCCCACGCTAACCTCACTTTACGAAACTGGCCCCAGTACATGTGCCATTAGCATGCTATCCGCTCCAAAGCAAGTGTGACAAATCAAGATTGCAATGTCTTCCTAATGATTGCCGTAATCAATCTGGCCAATACCTCCAGTCGACACAGCCCCGAACCTGTATTTTGGCCGCCGGAAAATGTCAAGAGTCACCACTCCATTAGGCCGTATAACATATCTGGCACTGCGAAAATACCAGGTCAGGGCTCAATCACACAGCACCACCGTGCACTCCGTTCGGGTCGGTAACTTTCTCCCGTACAATGTGAATAGATTCTCTCGC